GTCCCCTGTGGAGCCCCAATGCTGCTCATCACTGTCGCTGAGACAGAGTTACCCAGCCTGACGTACTGTGGTCATCTTGTCAGGTAATCCACAATCCAGGACGTGAAGCAGGGATCCACCCCCATCCCTTCCAGCTTCTCTCTAAGATGGGGGGTTGGATGGTGTTAAATGCACTTCAAATCAAAGAACATAATCCTCATGTAACCACCTGGCTCATCCAAGTAAGAATGAGCCCAGTGGAACATGTAAAGGACGGCATCATCCACTCCAATATGTTCTTTGTAGGCAAACTGTAGGGGCTTCTAGTGCATGTTCAAGGTGGAGAAGCAGCCGCTCCAGGGTCTTCATGATGTGTGATGTGAGGGACACCAGTCTGTAGTCATTTATCTCTACTTTAGGTACCGGAAAAAGACATGTTTTCCACAGGACCGGGACCGGGACCCTCCATGTTTGTAGACTTATGTTGAAGATCATCTGGAGAGGCTTAGCCAGCTGGGCTGCACAGTCCTTTAGCAGCTTCAGACACACACCATCAGAAGCTGTTGCCTTTCCAAGACATAGCCTCTTGAGCTCCGCCCTCACCTCCTTGGGTGTAAAGGACAGGAGACTTAACCCTAGTGTGGAGGGAGTTGCAGCTGCAGTTTCAGGTTGTGGAGGAGATGCCGTAGGAGAAGCTGCAGCTGAAGCAGTGGGAGAGAGAACACGTGAGGCTGTGTCAAACCTGTTGTAGAACAGGTTGAACTCATTGGCCTTGTCCACATCACCTGGTGTTGCCTGGCTGTTCTTCTCTTTATAGCCAGTGATGGTCCTCATCCCCTTCCACACCTCTCTGGTGTTGTTGTGCTGCAGCTTCCTCTCTACTTTCTTTTTGTAGTCCTCCTTCGCCTGCTTTAATCTCCTCTCAACTCATGTTGCACACACCTGAGCTTCTCCCTGTCTCCGTCCCTGAAGGCCTCCTTTTTCTGGTTGAGCAGGGTCTTGATGTTATCGGTGATCCAGGGTTTGTTGTTTGGAAAGCAGTGTACAGTCCTTGCTGGTATTACAGTGTCCATACATAAGTTAATATAGTCCATGGTTCATTTAACCATTCTATCAAGGTCAGGGTCCTTGCTTTTATAATTTTCCTGTGACTCCAACAGTACATTAGAGGCACAATCTGTGCCTCAAAACAGTCTTTTAGACACCCACTGGCTTCTGGGGTCCAGTTCCTGAATGAGCGGGTGGTTGCAGCCTGCCTCAGTACACAGGGCTTGTAGGAAGGCTGAAGAAAAACCAGATTATGATGTGAGCTGAAGCAGTGTAGGCCTCCTTGACATTTGAATACAACAGATCAAGTTTCTTACTTTCCCTTGTGGGACAGTCAACACACCAAGTGAAGCCAGTCAGGTGAAAGGTGAGAGTGACTTTTCTCTAATATTGCAATGAATGCATCAGGGTGTTGGGTCTGTACTCTCACAAGTCTTGTGAATGACGTCACACGCAACTGCAGGCTCTGCTCGTGGTTGAATGTAAACATGGCGACAATGTGTGAGAACTCCCTCAGTACATAGTACGGTCTAAGAACAACTGCCAACAGTTCAATATCCCAACAGCAGATCATCTCCTTCACTGTGATGTGACCAGGGTTGTACCATGTATTGTTCACAAGCAGAACCAGTCTTCCACCTTTTTTTTTTTCACTTGCTCTGGCGTCTCTGTCCGCTTGTACTGTAATGAAGCCGGGTAAATCCAAACAACGGTCGGGAGTGTTGTCGTTTAACATATGAGACTACACTCACGATATGCTCGCTGGTTCTTCACAAATGCCTCCAGTTCATCACACTTGTTAGCCAGGGAGTTGACATTTCCCATAAGGATCGATGGTAGAAAAGGCTTTCTCCATCTCCTAGCCTTTAGCTTAACCCCTGCTCTGCATCCACGGTATGGCTTCTTCAGCTCAGCTGGTATGGGATGTTAAACTTCATATCTGGTAAACATTAAAGCCAGGAGTTCTTCCTTTGTATACATTATTTTCTCCATCTTCAGACAAAACAGCGACTGCTGCCACTTGTTGCCAGTGCATCATTTGAACAATGTAAAGGAAACTGGACTCTGACGACTCTAACATTAGACAGATGCTAAATTTGGTTGGAAATGAAAATCAGGTTGACATCAAAATCCAATGGTGGCTCATTGACATTGTGACCTTTAGCAGATGCTGGGTTTTGTTTACAACTAGAATCTTGGTATTTTATAGGTCAAGATGGCGTTGACATGAGACATTTGGGAGACATCTACTTTCCGCATTAATATGTCAAATTTGCATGTCTTCAGAAGACAGAAAATACCCTGTTAACACATCAATGTTGAATGTCTTAAAGTGTTTAAATTTGGGTGCTGCTACTTCACCAGCCCTTTTAAAGAGAAAAAAACAATTGATGGAGGTGAATGAATGGAGGTTAGTAAATAATATTGATTTAATTGGGCTGAAGAAATAATATTGATTTAAGGTGCCATTGAGAAAAAATGTAATTTGTAATACTCGACTAATTAATTTAATGTGGGCGTGTTTGTCCACTAGATGGAAGTATTAGAACACAAATAGCAACCTGATGAATTTTGAGTATATTAGGGGAAAAAAGAAAGAACTTGGGTTGTGTGAATTATATTTTACTGTTTTTTGTAATCTCATTTTACTTTTGTCCTTTGTTGATTAGGAATCAGTTTTCCTGTTTAAAACACAACATTTGTGTTTATAAAGGAATCCTTGTATAACTGTAACTGGATGAAAACCCATATGGTCTGCTGTTCACCTTCTGTGTAGGAATAAAAACCTGTAGAGGATGTAGAGACAGCAGGGATCACCATTAATTTAACTTGGGTCAATTGAACAACTGACATAGACTGCATATGAACAGATAATTGTACTTGAACAGATATCACTCAAATCAGCTCAAACTCGCTCCATGCTGCTCACAGTGTTACATTACCTCAGCAGCACCCATGGTATGTGGTTGTTCAAATCCCCAATTTGACCATCTGTTGTGAATTTATTAATTAAAGCATGCTATTGTTATTTTATATATTACATGGACGTGTTGTCTCGGGTACGACAATACTTGATAGGTTAAAGCAAACTGTCTACGGATAAGCAAAACTTAAAGGACATAAAGGCGAGCCTTCTTTTTCACACATCAAGATATTTTGATTTTGTGGTTTAAACACTGTATTACACCATAGACAAGCTGTTTGCGTTAGACAGAGCTCAGTGTGGTAGTGCTTGTGCATAGGAGTATGGTTCAAGGGTTATGAAAATGTAGGGCTGAAGGAAAAAGGCTGATAAAGTGTAAAATACATAAACACTAAATGTGGCTAAAACACATTTTTGTCAATGGCCCAGTTCAAGGCAGCTCATCACTCAGCTTCTGTATTGGTGCTCCTGCTGCTTCTCCCAAGTGGCAAGGCACTGATCCGAATCTACACTGACCATGTATAATTACCTCACACAACCCAAGTTAAATAACCTGTTGAACTTTAAGATGTTCAAAATGGGATGTCTCCCCTTGATTACATCCATGGTGTTGCACTCAGAAAGTGATGGCAGTAGATGTGAGTGAAGAATCACAATGAGAGTTTGAGGTAATCCAGCAGCACAGCTCGAAGAAAGTCCCAGTCACTAATGATAATCTCTGACCACAGTGAACTGGTATTGGGATTGTTGACAGTGACAACAACTTGTAACAAGGTTAAAAACAATTCATCTTACAAAGACTGAGACAGCTTCACTTAAAACCTCTAAAACACTCTATCACAGTGAATGAAAGAATGTAAACACTGTGGTTGCAGAGACACAGTCTCCTGTTTACTGAACAGGAGACTGTGTCTCTGCAACCACAGTGCAACCATAAGACAAGGAGAACTAAACATGCGTGGATGTATTTTCAGTCATTTCTCATATGAAGTGAATGAAAGAATTTAATCACAGTCACTGTAGGTAATAAATTTAAAGTACAATATGATACACACACATAAATTATGTGTCTACTTTTGTGGAAGGAAAAAACACCTACCACAGAATACCTACAGCAGAACTGCTATTAACCAGCATGAAACCAGCTTTAGAAAATCAGATGCTTAACACAGATTGCAAACACAAATGATGCATAAAACTCTCTCATTTGAGGTAACCATACTGTGTTAGATGTTTTTTACTAATACTTCTAGCAGCCATTGTTTTCCATTCACTGCTGTTCATGTTGTTGCTGTATCAAAATCAAGTTGCAGAGACTTGAGTCTTGCTTATGTAAGGTGAACCATGACACTGAACATCCTGTCCACTGTAGTCAGACTATCATTATCTAATCTTAATCCAAGTAATCCATCTGGAAAAGTAGATTGATTAAAAGTTCTGCACTACTAGCTAATAGTAACTTTATGACAAAATAAAAACTATTCGGTACAAACTAAATTTAAATACATAGAAATATTATAAAATCATAAATGAAAGCACTGGGTTGCTTGAGGGTCTCTAACAGAACTCTGAGAGTGGATTTAGCCCAAAACGCTAGTTAAATTATTTGTAGTAACAGCGTCTGAAACAACAGACTCGGTGACAATAAATCTCTCTTTATAACATTAAAACCTGATAGATTTCCATACAAATTTTAAAAAGCAACTTAGACTAACATCAATGACAGTCTCTAATATAAAATGTAGGACAAAGAGCTGAAACTACTTCTAAACCAGATTTATGAAAACCTGCCTATAAATTGGCTTTAAACTTAGTTGAAAAAAAACATTTGCACTCTCCATGAAATAGTCTGAAACAGATAAAGAAACATGATGGGACAGTAAAACTCCACCAGGCCTAGTATTAATGCTACTATTATACAGGTTCACACGCAGTGCTGCACAGTACAAGCCAGACCAGTCAGACATGGAGTCAGCTCTGTGGTCCAGTGACACCCCCTACCCCTCCACTCCTCCCTCTCCTCTCATACAACCTCTCTTTACCCCCGCAGTTCGTCGTGTGCCTCCCCGTTTCTCCATCCCCCCCACAAATCATGAGGTGATGCCTGGCGGCAGTGTCAACCTGACCTGCGTGGCTGTCGGCGCTCCCATGCCTTATATCAAGTGGATGACTGGTGAGGCGGAGCTGACCCGAGAGGAGGAGATGCCCATCGGCCGCAATGTCCTGGAGCTTACCAACATCCGCCAGTCTGCCAACTACACCTGCATGGCCATATCCTCCCTAGGCATGATCGAGACCACGGCACAGATCACTGTCAAAGGTGAGAAGCAATCTGACTCTGTAGGGGGAGGGGCATCTGGTAGAATGTGGCCTCACATGGAACCAAATTTGAATAAATGAATTACATTTGTAATTATTGCTCTTATAGAATTTAAATATTATGTATAAGAAATAAAAAAAGCAGCTAAAATGTACTCACTATATGAACACAAACAGGTAGGCGCACGCCTCACCTACATCACACACACACCTCTATGAGGGGCCGTCAGGGACATTATCTAGAATTACCATGCATATACACATATGAAACCATATTCATTCAAATACTATACTGAAAACCTCACACACATACAAGTGAAAGGGTTTTACATTCACTACTTAAAACACAACTGAAAAGGTCTCATATATACTTGTGAAACCTTTTACATACTACTGAAATTGTACTCGTACTCGTACTCGTCGTCTCCCGCTCATCCAGATCCGGGTCACGGGGGCAGCAGCCTCAGCAAAGAGGTCCAGACAGCCCTCTCCCCTGCCACTTCCACCAGCTCTTCCGGGAGAATCTCGGGGCGTTCCAAGGCCAGCCGAGAGATATAATCCCTCAAGCTTGTCCTTGGTTGGCCCCTAGGCCTCCTCCCGGTGGGACATGCCCAAAACACCTCCACAGGGAGGCGTCCAGGAGGCATCCTCACCAGATGCCCGAACCACCTCAACTGGCCCCTCTCGACATGGAGGAGCAGCGGTTCTACTCCGAGTCCCTCCAGGATGACCGAGCTCCTCACCCTATCTCTAAGGCTGAGCCCGGCCACCCTGCAGAGGAAACTCATTTCAGCCGCTTGTATTCGCGACCCCGTTCTTTCGGTTATGAACATAGGTGAGGGTTGGAACGTAGATCGACCGGAAAATCGAGAGCTTCACCTTCCGGCTTAGCTCCATCTTCCCCACAACGGACCGATTCAGCCCATCACTGCTGACGCCGCCCCAATCCGCCTGTTGATCTCCCGTTCCATCCTACCCTCACTCGTGAACAGGATCCCGAGATACTTAAACTCCTCCACCTGAGGCAAAGCCTCCCCCCCAACCCGGAGCAGGCAATCCACCCGTTTCCGGCTAAGAACCATGGCCTCAGACTCAGAAGTGCTGATCTTCATCCCAGCCGCTTCACACTCAGCTGTGAACCTCCCCAGCTAGAGCTGAAGGTGCTCGATGAAGCTAAGAGGACCACATCATCCGCAAAAAGCAGAGACGAGATCCTCCCGCCACCGAACCCAAACCCCTCCACCACCTGGCTGTGCCTAGAAATTCTGTCCATAAAAGTTATGAACAGAACCGGTGACAAAGGGCAGCCCTGACGGTGCTCGATGAAGCTAAGAGGACCACATCATCCGCAAAAAGCAGAGACGAGATCCTCCCGCCACCGAACCCAAACCCCTCCACCACCTGGCTGTGCCTAGAAATTCTGTCCATAAAAGTTATGAACAGAACCGGTGACAAAGGGCAGCCCTGACGGAGTCCAACCCTCACCGGGAACAAGTCCGACTTACTGCTGGCTACGCGAACCAGACTCACATTCCTTTGATAAAGGGACTTCATGGCCGCTAACAAGGGGCCATCCACCCCATACTCCCGGAGCACCCCCCACAGGGAGCCCCTGGGGACACGGTCGTAAGCCTTCTCCAAATCCACAAAACACATGTGGACTGGATTGGCAAACTCCCATGCCCTCTCCAGCACCCTAGCGAGGGTAAAGAGCTGGTCCACAGTTCCACGTCCAGGACGAAAACCACATTGTTCCTCCTCGATCTGAGGTTCAACTACCGACCAGACCCTCTTTTCCAGTAACCTGGCATAGACCTTACCGGGGAGGCTGAGGAGTGTAATTCCCCGATAGTTGGAACACACCCTCTGGTCACTCTTCTTAAAGATGGGGACCACCACCCCAGTTTGCCACTCCAGAGGCACTGCCCCCGATGTCCACGCAATGTTGCAGAGGCGTGTCAACCAAGACAGTCCTACAACATCCAGAGCCTTGAGATACCCAGGTCGGATCTCATCAACCCCCGGGGCTCCGCCACCACGCAGTTGTTTCACTACCTCGGCGACTTCTGCCCCGGGGTTAGATCATCCATCCCCAGGTCTCTTGACTCTGTTTCCTCCACAGAATACATGTTGGTGACATTGAGGAGCTCCTCAAAGTATTCCTTCCACCATCCGACTATATCCTCAGTTGACGTCAGCAGCTCCCTGCCCCCACTGTAAACAGTGTGAGCGAGTTGCTGCCTTCGCCCCCTCAGGCGCCAGACAGTTTGCCAGGACCTTTTTGGAGCCGATCGATAGTCTTCCTCCATAGTCTCACCGAACTCCTCCCACGCCCGAGTTTTTGCCTCAGCAACTGCCGCGGCTGCGCTCCGCTTGGCCCGCCGGTACCAGTCAGCTGATTCCGGAGACCCACAGGCCAACCACGCCCTGTAGGCCTCCTTCTTCAGCCTGACGACTTCCCCCACCGCCGGTGTCCACCAGCGGGTACGGGGGTTACCGCCACAACTGGCCCCAGCTACCCTGCAGCCGCAGCTCGCAACAGCCGCCTAAACAACAGCAGAGTGGAACAAGGCCCATTCGGACTCAATATCCCCCACCGCTCTCGGGACGTGATCGAAACTCTGCCGGAGGCGTGAGTTGAAAATCGTCTTGACGGGTTCTTCCGCCAGGCTTTCCCAGCAGACCCTCACAACCTGTTTGGGCCTGCCAGGTCTGCGCGGTGTCTTCCCCCGCCATCTGATCCAACTCACCACCAGGAGGTGGTCAGTTGACAACTCTGCTCCTCTCTTCAACCGAGTGTCCAAAACATACGGCCGCAGGTCTGATGATACGACTACAAAGTCGATCATAGACCAGCGACCTAGGGTGTCCTGGTGCCATGTGCACCTGTGGACATCCTTATGTTTGAACATGGTGTTAGTTGTGGCCAAACTGTGACTAGCACAGAAATCCAATAACTGAACACCACTCGGGTTCAGATCGGGCAGGCCGTTCCTCCCCACCACACCCCTCCAGGTCACGCTGTCGTTGCCCACGTGAGCGTTGAAGTCTCCCAATAGGACAATGGAGTCCCCTTTCGGGGCACTTTCCAGCACCCGTCCCAAGGACTCCAAAATGGGCGGGTAGTCTGAACTGCTGTTCGGCGCATAAGCACCGACAACAGTCAGAACCCGATCCCCGACCCGGAGGCGCAGGGACGCAACCCTTTCGTCTACCGGGGTGTACCCCAACATACAGGCAGAGAGCCTGGGGGCCACCAAAAAGCCCACCCCGGCCCTCCGCCTCTCCCCCGGAGCAACTCCAGCAAAGAGGAAAGACCAGCCCCTCTCAAGGACTTGGGTTCCGGAGCCGACGCTGTGAGTTGAGGTGAGGCCGACTATATCTAGCTGGTACCGTTCCACCTCTTCCACAAGCTCCTGCTCCTTCCCTGCCAGAGAGGTGATGTTCCATGTTCCAAAAACCAGTTTCCATAACCGTGGATTGGACCGCCAAGGCCCCCGCCTTGGTCTGCTGCACAATTCACATTGCACCGGACCCCGCTGACTCTTCCTGCAGGTGGTGGGCCCACTGGGAGACAAACTCATGTAGCCGGTTCGGGCTGGGCCTGCCTGGGCCCCATGGGCTAAGGCCCGGCCACCAGGCACTCGCCCACGGGCCCCAACCCCAGGCCTGGCTCCAGGGCGGGGCCCCGGTATCCCTCCGGGCCGGGTACACAAGTTCTTGATCGTTTTACTCATTGGGATCTTCTGAACCATTCTTCGTCTGGCCCTTCACCTAGAACCAATCTGCCATGGGAGACCCTACCAGGGGCAAAATGCCCCTGACAACATAGCTCCTAGGGTTAGGGCTCTCAAACTGCTCCGCCACGGTAAGGTGGCGGTTCAAGGAGGAGCTACTGAAATCCTCTCACACAAACAACTGAAAAAGTATGCGCTCACATACACAACTGAAACGCCCACACACACACAACTGAAACACTCTCACACACACAACTGAAACAATCTCGCACACACAACTGAAAATTCAGGATTTCAGTTGAAATGGAAGGCATTTCAGTTGAAACGGAAGGTTGAAGCCTGTGGTGTTTGTTTGTTCCAGTGGTGTTATTGCGAAAGTCATGCTTCTATTTTTGAAGTACAATGACAGTAGCCACCTGGTCTGTGTACTTTGCGGACAACGAATGAACTAAATTAATGAACTCTTGCAATGAACTAAATATTGCCAACCTCAGCTTCAATCAGGACATCTAACTGTGATCAATGTTAAAGAATCAGGGGAAGATTACCTGTATTTGCAAGTTACATCATAACTTACTAACATTATACATAAAACTTCTTTCACTTGAATGAGTTATCATGTATATGCAGTAACTACTCCCATTCAGGGATGCTGCATTCATGGCAGTGCAACTTAAACTAAGGATTATGCAAAACCTATCCCAGATTCAGAAGCATTAAGGCTGAAAATTATGTTCACTATTTAAAACTCCCCAAATTTTATACCAGTATGTCAGAATATTCTTTTGCCACTATCTATCACTATTGAATAAGCAACATTAGTGTTTGGCATATTAACATGGATGGATAGATTTATAATGGATAACTTCAACGAGTATTGCTTTTATTTATTTTTGAATGAGGCAGAGATTATGACAAAAAACAAGATGAAAAATTTATATGTTTATACATTGACTGTACATAGATAAACCTCTCTAAGCATCCAGTAAATTAAAAGACACTGTTTAAATCCAAAACTTAATCAAAGTATTATAAATCACTATCTGTTTTTTACTTTATTATACAGTATGATTATTATATTATATGGTTATTATAATTATATGGTTATTATAATCACTCAAAGTGCCTTGGATGTTTTTCCTTTGAGAGGAGAAGTGTAGTAGATGCTGCTAAAACAGAAAATATTTTGACAGTTTAAAACTGTCTTTGTTTTGTGGTAACTGATTTGTGCCACATCTGGCTTTAAAATGAAGGTTAATATCTC